TGAATCAATGCCAAGTAGAATTAAGGCAGTTCTGAAGGGGTCAAACACTGTATTAGTATGGTGTTCCTAATAATCCTTTAGGTGAGTTTATATATATACATATTTGTACACCTCTACTATTCATACAGCTGGGTGAGTTCACCATCTGTTTACTCTGTCTACTCCCCATAATGATTTATTTTTCCTGACAGACAGAAGAGTAATTCATCATGCAGAGACAGAGCACAGCACCCTGCAAAAAGAGAGAGACCAGCTGCTGCTGAATTACAGCCTGCAGACAACAGAGAGAGACCAGCTTCTGCTTAATTACAGCCTGCAGACTGCAGAGAGAGACCAGCTACTGCTCAGATACAGCCTGCAGACTGCAGAGAGAGACCAGTTACTGCTCAATTATAGCCTGCTGACTGCAGCGAGAGACCAGTTACTGTTCAATTTCAGCCTGCAGACTACAGAGAGAGACCAGCTACTGCTGAAGTATAAATACTGCAACAAGAGTGAGTACAGTTTAATTAAATAAAATATGTAAATGTAAATCGCCCTGCGATGGGCTGGCCCCCCGTCCAGGGTTGTTCCCTGCCTCGTGCCCATTGCTTCCGGGATAGGCTCCGGACCCCCCGCAACCCAGTAGGATAAGTGGGTTGGACAATGGATGGATGGATGGATGTAAATGTAAATCCAGGGGAGACAATACACAATGATGCACTTAGATATCCTAAAAGAACAAAAGTATATTTAATCTTTACTTTGTGTGTGTGTTTGCACATACATAAGCTGTGACATATCAGGGTTTTTGAACAAACATAATGACATCACATCCATCTTCAAGGCCAGGATGTGTCTTTGGACCACAGGTTACACCTGTCCATTGGGTTGGAGGAGATTCAAATGCAGCTGTTACTACATTTCCACTGAGAAGAAGACCTGGAGCGACAGCCGACAGGCCTGTATGCAGTTAGGAACCGACCTGGCGATCATCAGCAGCAGAGAGGAGCAGGTGAAATAAATATAGTGTTTAAGGGCATTTATGTTTGTGTGTGTGTGCACTGTAATCCCGGATTAAAGAGTTTACTAGAAATTTGCGTGTATACCCGTTCCCCTTAAACCACTTTAGTTTTAACACATTCTGAAACTAAACATATTAAGTTGTATTGACATGGACAATCATTAGTTTTTACTAAAAATGATTAGTTCACTTAACTAATTTTCTTTGCATCCCCAAGTTATTTGAAATAACCATAAGAACATAAGAAATTTACAAACGAGAGGAGGCCATTCGGCCCATCAAGCTTAACTAATAGCTCAGAGTTGTTAAAATCTTATCTAGCTCTGATTTAAAGGAACCCATGGTTTTAGCTTCCGCTACACTAGCAGGAAGACTATTCCATACTCTAACTACACGCTGTGTAAAGAAGTGCTTCCTCAAATTTGTTTTAAAATGTTCTCCCGCTAATTTCCACTTATGGCCACGAGTTCTAGTATTTATACTAATATTGAAATAGTCATTTGGCTGAACAGCATCCAGACCCTTTAGAATCTTATAGACCTGAATCATATCCCCCCTTAGTCTCCTTTGCTCAAGGCTAAACAGATTCAGATTTAGTTCCGCTAACCTCTCCTCATAAGACTCCTCTTAAGCTAAACTTACATACACATTGTATTTATCACTACTTATATTCATTTGTTAATATAAATAATGTGGTTTCTTCAAATGTAATACCATTTTTTGTAACAAATGCTTTAAACAAAATTGTATGGAAGAAAAGCAATGAAACATTTAAATATTCAGAAAAACATTTATTTTTTCACAAAATATTGCAAGATAATATTCTGCAGTATTGCACAACCCAAAAAAAAAAAAACAACAAACTTGTTTCTAAACAATTGCATATTTGCAAGAGGCACAGCAAAAATTATTTGTATGGCAAAGGCCTCCTTTAAGAACACCAAACTGTATAACAACCTACATTCAACACCTTGACTTTGGCCACATCTGAAAGTGACTGAAAATGATAAAATTATGGCTGTTCACAGCATACTTGACACACTTCTTTATATTTTAAGCTGGTTTTTCAGTGTTTGTAGCCTTGGTTTCAGTTCACTCTGACCCAACATGAGAACAACCTGTTGGATGAACTGAAAATTGAGCTTCATAAACTTGGGGTAGTTTAGATACAGTATTTACACTTACACTGCATCTTCACAAGAAACCTGCAAAACAGAAAATGAGCCAACTATTAGCTCAAGCTGCAATTACAAATCACTGTGTTAACACCCGACTAATATTACCATGATAGCCCTGCTAACGGTCGTGTCCTTTGCAAAGTTACATTAACAGTATTGATATAAATGCAAGAATCACCTCTGATACCAAACACGGGTTAACCGTGATAGCCCGCCAGCCTGCGGTTAGCATTAGCTACAAGCTCATACAATCATGCACGTTATTGTAAACACTGACTGAACCGACAGATAACCGTCTTCTTAAGACATAGCTGAGGTTAGCGTTTAGCTAAGTCCTTATCTGCACTGATCTTATGCGTCTATTAAGTCTCTATTAAGATATCAAATTTAACACTCACCAGCTTTCTTCTGATTCCCGCCCAGACAAACTCCAGTGCTCACTCCTCAGCTCCTCAGCGCGGTTCGTGAACACATGACTCGAGACACGTTTTTTTTTTTAAAAACGTAATATGTTGAGTTATCTTTGCTAATCATGATTATTGCACTGCACAAAGTTGAAAAGTATTACATACAGCTTATTCTGGTTTAGTAATTAGACACTCTTTTAACAAAACATGAAAGAATAATTAATCATTACTAAATAGTTTATGTTGAAACAAAATCCGAGTTTAAAGTGTGTGTGTGTGTGTGTGTGCCCTTTGATGGACTGGCATCCCATCCAAGGTGGTACAGTATAATAAGAGGGTGTAATGTAAATGTTAGTCACTTCATTCTAGTACATTTGGGAGCTCTGGGGAGGTCGCTGGCGTGCTGTGTCGCCACTTTCCTGCCGTTTTTCCCTGCTGTTCTTATACAGTTTTGCCTAAATACTGAATCATTCCTATAATCTGTAATCCGTTACCTGCTGCACTGTTCGTCTTACCTGCCGTTGCCATAAGTATTCACTTACCCTCCGGAAACTCTGGGCATGTCGATTGACTACTCCGCTGCACATCTCGTGAGTCTGAATACATACAGCCGACCAGCGTGTATGTCTATTATCAAGGAGCTTGGACTTCTATGCCGACCTCGTTACATCCATAGAAGCTCCCGGAGAAAGTTTTTCTACTACCATCACTCCAACCACGTTGCCTCAGGAATCCCGGCTCTCTGGTCGCCAACCAGCACGCGCTGCACACGTCATCAGAACACTGTTGCATGTGATCTATGTAACATGGATACTGCTGTGAGACGGCTACCCTCTGGGCTTGGCCAAAAACCTGGAGCACATCGGATCCACAGAGTGGATCTGACTGTGCTACAGACGCTACAACAATTTGCTGCCTCTTCTTTGGTCAGAGTTGAGCTTTTTAATACACAGTCCTTGTCAAACAAAGCATCCTTCATACAGGATCACATTATTGAAAAGTAATTAGATCTCCTGTGCCTTACTGAAACATGGAGCCTGGAGTATTCTTATCTCTAAATGAAGCCTGCCCCCCTGGTTACTTTTACATCAAGAGGGCACGCAGCACTGGACGTGGTGGTGGTCTTGCTGTCATACATCGTCAGGACCTGGAATTCTTCTCCTTTCCGTTACCTGTGTTGTAATCATTTGAATGCGTTGCGTTCAAATGTAAGAATCCTCTGTCATTAACCATCTTTCTCATCTATTGTCCACCTAAAATTAACTCAGCTTTCTTTCCAGAATTTCAGGACTTTCTCAGTACACCCTGCACAATCTCTGCCAACATTCTGATACTTAGAGATCTAAACATTCATGTTGTACTCGACAGTCTAAATCTGCAGCAACATGTTGATGCTCCCACTCATTCTAGGAGGCACATGCTTGATCTGATGATAACCAACTCTGTTCCGACCACAAACCTGCAAGTATGTGACCTTGGGCTGTCAGACCACAAAGCCATTTTCATGGAGTTGCCTCTTTCCTGCTCATCCCACTGCAAAGCGAAGCGGCAAATCCACTTTAGATCTATGAAGAACATTGATCCTGATGCCCTGGCTCTGGACCTACAACGTGTATTGTCTGGCTCTGCTGCTCTTTACACAGTGACAGAAACAGTTTACAAGTCTCTGTCAAGCCTTCTTGACTGCCACGCTCCCACCAGGACCCGTACAGTCACCTTCTCACGCTCAGCACCCTGGTACACTACTGAGCTTCGGAGGATGAAGTCAGTCAGACGTGTCCTCGAATGACGTTGCAAGGCCTCAGAGTTGACTGTACACAAGCAGGCCTTTAGGGAACATCAGAAGGCCTATGCTGAATCGCTTAAAGACGCACGGTCCCAGTTCTATTCCAACACCATCAACAGCAATCCTGGCAATTCCAAACAGCAAATTTACCATGCCGACCGACTCACTGCAAGAGCCTATCAGTCCTCTCAGCTACCTCTCCACTGCCATACAGCAGGAGGTTGAGGCTATCATCACAAAGATGAAACCATCTTCAGTCTGGTTTTCGTCAAGGCCACAGCACAGACACAGCACTGGTAAGGGTGACAAATGACTTGTTGATGACAGCTGATGCTGGCTCTCCTTCCCTTCTTATTCTTCTGGATTTGTCCGCCGCTTTTGACACTGTCGACCACAACATCCTATTGCACCGGTTACATGCCACCATTGGCCTCTCTGACTGCGCTTATAATTGGTTCTTCTCCTATCTCTCAGGGAGAACCAAGTATGTTGCCCTGGGAAAAGCTACATCTGATTCCCACAATGTTATTTTTGGTGTCCCCCAAGGCTCGGTGCTAGGACCGACTCTCTTCACCTTATACCTGCTTCCCCTCGGTCACATTATCACCAGACATGGTTTATCTTTCCACGGTTATGCTGATGACATGCTGATAAAGGCATGTGGAGATAAAGTTGTGGATGAAGCTTAACTTTCTTCAGCTTAACACCTCCAAGACGGAGGCCATTATAGTCAGCACTCTGCACCAGGTTCACACTTCCACCATCACTAGTATCACTTTCTCTAATCAAGATATTCCACTATCCTCGGTTATCACCAATCTTGGTGTAAAAATGGACCCCCACCTCACTTATGAACCCCACATCCAACAGATATGTAAGACCTCATTCTTTCATCTCAAAAACATTTCCAAACAGTCATCAAGAAGTGGACAAAATATGGGACAGCAGTGACGTTTCAGAGACTGGGACGTCCCTCCAAAATTGATATAACGACAAGAGGAAAACTGGTCAGGGAGGCTGCCAAGAGGCCTACAGCAACACTGAGGGAGCTGCAGGAATTTCTACATGTGACAACAATCTCCCATGTTCTCCATATGTCTGGACTGAGGGGTAGAGTTGCAAGATGGAAGCCTTTTCTTACAAAGAGAAACATCCAGGCCCAGCTAAATTTAGCAAAAAATTATATCAAGTCTCCCTAAAGCATGTGGGAAAATGTGTTATGGTCTGATGAAACCAAGGTTGATCTTTTTGGCCACAATTCCAAAAGGTACGTTTGCCGCAAAAACAACACTGTACATCACCAAAGAACATCATACCCACGGTGAGGCACGGTGGGGGCAGCATCATGCTCTGGGGTTGTTTTCCTTCAGCTGGAACTGAGGCCTTAGTCAAGGTGACAAGGGAATTATGAACAGTTTCAAATACCAGTCATTTTTGGCCCAAAACCTTCAGGTATCTGCTAGAAAGCTGAAGATGAAGAGGAATTTCACATTTCAGCACAACAATGACCCCAAGCATACAACCAAATCAGCAGAAGAATGGCTTCACCAGAAGAAAACTAAAGCTTTGGAACGGCCCAGTCAGAGCCCAGAGCTGAATCCAGCTGAGAACCTGAGGGGTGACCTGAAGAGGGCTGTGTACAGGAGATGCCCTCACAATCTGACAGTCTGAGAACCTGAGGGGTGGCCTGAAGAGGGCTGTGTACAGGAGATGCCCTCGCAATCTGACAGTCTGAGAACCTGAGGGGTGACCTGAAGAGGGCTGTGTACGGGAGATGCCCTCACAATCTGACAGTGTGAGAACCTGAGGGGTGACCTGAAGAGGGCTGTGTACGGGAGATGCCCTCGCAATCTGACAGTGTGAGAGATCGGTTATATCCTGGGCGCCGATGTGTCAATCATAGAACGCAAGGGCCTCTATGCTTTATATTTATTTTAGTTGTAACCTTCAAAAAAAGTTGACAGAAGTCATTTGTAGGCTTCTTCTACAAAAGATTTTTTTCGCTCTCTAATTTTGATTGCATGCCTTCTTCAAATTTCTTGTTCAAACTATTTATTTAGTGAGGTGGCATAGCTTTCACTGATGATATACTGTATGATTAAAATACATTTCTTCTATTCATGTTAGAATAACTATTTGGATAAGTTGTGACTTTGTATATTACAAAAACGTCTCTTGTTGTAATGTCATTTTGATTGCCACTGCAAATGTTTGTCACTTCATTCTAGCACATTATGAATAGTTAACAAACAGAAAATTTAGCTATTAATGCAGACTATAAGATGCTAGAAACTCACCTGTACGATATTGTTCAAAACATCTTCTTGCCTTGAACTACCTTGCCTCTGGCTGTCCAATAAGCTACTGTACCATGACAAACCAGAGGAAAAGAATCACAGTTATTTACAGTCCAATATCATCCCCACTTGCTCCAAATGAATAACTTTCATAATGTGAGTCTTCATTCATTGTGATATTTCTTAAACTGTAGGAGTTTATGAACAGCATTCCTGGAGGATTCTGGATTGGTCTCAGTGACAGAGAGAGAGAAGGAACCTGGAAATGGGTGGATGGAACAACATTTCCTGTAGATGAAGGGTAAGACCAGCCTGAGCACAATTACAGAGAGACGTAGAGAGAAAGGCCAGGATCAGCATAAGTACACAGACAGACAGTGAATGATCTCATTCATCAATGTTACAGCGAGACTGATAGGAGAAGAGTTAACAGAGCCCTTCTCCATACAGCTGTTGCACAATATATATATGCTACTGTAACAGTCTGTATATTACAGAAACCAGTAGCCTGACTGCTGCTCCACCTTGATCACCACACTACTGTCCACACCATTATTGTTACTTTACCATTAAACAGTACAGTACTCTGACCTGGAGATCAGATAATCTGAACCACTGACCTGTCTGCAGATACTGGTGGTCTAATCCAAAGCAGCCCGACTCCAATGGAAATGAAGATTGTGTGGAGCTCAGGACCAGAGACTCTGATTCTGGATGGAACGACCGTCCATGTGGTGGTGTTTGGAAATGGATGTGTGAATCCTTACCCATGGTGTTAACCCACATATTAATGATCACTCACTGTTCACTATAGACAGAGTCAGGGTGAAATTAATTTTATCTTTTCTTTTGCTTCATACAAAGTCTTTTTCATCTAAAATAGGAAAACAGCCCTTTTCTTTGTTTCTATGCGGTTAAGAGATTGTTGCTCTTTTTTCTTTGTATTTCCCATAATACTTAAAATGCTTTTTAAATACCATGTGCAGCTA